TCACTGTAAAACATGGCTTCAAGGGGTTGGTATGCAGTTGGTATTTTTATTTTTGTTCATCCAAAATGGATGTAACAGCTTGAAAATTCTCTACATGGGCAGGAATGAAACACTCCTTTCTGCTGATTGGTCAACAGGGGTGCATATTTGACATAAATATGGAGTTAATATTGTGCCATAATTAAACAAATCCAGCATTTTGCAAACAAACTCGATCTCGCTTTTCAAAAGAAACCTCGACTCGCAAACAAACAGAAAGCAATGTGCAAGTATAAACGTCAATTTGAGCGGAAATGCAGTGGAGTAACAAATATGTATTGTGTTTTACAAATATAAATAAATTAGCTTAGATACTATTTCACAAATAAATACAAACCATCCTACAAATTGCATGTAACCTTTGAACAAATACCAAATCTAGTCCATACAAATGCAGGCCTGTTATGATTGTGAGACACATAGCTTTTTATGAGATCTCTCGGCTCGATTTTCTCACAAATGCAGTTGAGCAACTTCCTCTTCTAAAACAGTAGATGGCGCTAAGATAGAGGATGAATAGACCACTTTTGCACCGACGTCACAGTTACGAAACCGAGGCAAAACAAAAGAACTACTGGAGGCGGCTAATACAAACCAGCACAGATTCGGCTACATAATAAGGAGGTTAAATTATTATTATTATTAATTATCATCTTGTGTTGTTCGGTGCACGAATCAATGAAAAATGAATATGCTGTATCTGTATTTTTTATTTCTAGAAAATATTCACATCATGAAAATTGCACCGTAATGTCACTCTATACATTGTCGTCTCCTTTGCACTGGCTACTCAGAGCTGCAGATCGTACCACACAAGTCTCGTACAGGACCATTCAGCACATAGTTATAGGCATCTAAAGATTTATATGCCCTCAGTTTCTCTTTATGTTCGGTTTCTCTATCGGATAGGTGTGGAAATCAGGCCACTCAACCGGAGGTAGTGTTGAGTGACCGTGTACGGATCAGCCAATCTGGTTCCGTCTGTTAAAATGAACTTGTGCAAATAACAATCGTGGTCCTGGACACTGAGTGACCTTGCACATTAAGATAAAATCGGATTTTCTCCTGTCATTGTTAAAAAACAAGCTAACAAAACCATGGACTGTAAAAAAATATGGACGTAGTATCCGTGACATCACCCGTAGGTTTCTGAAGAGCGTTTTTGAAGCCTAAAGTGGCCGTCGCCATCTTGGCAGCGCGTCACCTCTCGTCACTACTGGATAAAATGGCCAAAGAGGCAGCAAGTGGGTGGAGCTGAGGTGCTAATGCTATATGCTACTGGCCTCAGGCTAAAGTGACAGCTGATTGAAGAAGTAAAGCCAATAGGTAAAGTTCATATTTTTGCCTTTCGAAATATTATAATAGTTAAGACGTAACTAAAAGTGAGACTATTTACTTTACTTTTTTATCAATTTTATTAATCTCACAAGGGGCAATTAGTTAAGAGCAAGTATACAACAGTACATAACACAGATCACACACATTTCTCACAACATTCCACTAGTCAACTATGTATATCGTGATGCATTATTATTCTAGTTAAGAATGTATTATCATGCAGACACTTACTTACAATATTGCTCTGAGTTTATGCGTGTGACAGACTGTGACAGTGATTCATGCACAACATGTCAGTCAGCGGCATCGCACGTCAAGTTCATAAAGAGCTTTATTTAGTCCATCTGATTTTGGCCGTCTCTCAATTTCTCAGATGGGTCAAACCAAAGATATTACCTCAGAAGTTCAAGTAAATGCACTAGAAATCCGCGCTCATTCAAAGTGCATGGACGGAGAGAAAGCACTGAAATGATCAGAAATCCATTAGTGTATGTGAGGAAAACAACTGGAAAAACAGCGCTGGTTGTTCTCTCCATAATCGACAACGACAGAATCCAACGGCGAGCACGGGCGAAGGTATAATACGTGTATAAAATTGTGTGAAATAATCCCGAAAAAAGCACACAGCTGAGGGTGACGCTGACAGACAGCAGACAAACGACTAGCAGTGAAAGCGGCGGCAATCCACCTGTCACTCAAGTGGCCACGCCCTTAATTATGCAGAACTTTAAGGCTTAATATAATTTAAACGGATGAGTTGTCAAAAAATTCACCCCCCTCACAGTCGTCATGAAGGGCAAAATTAGCAATATAGACCAAAACAACTATTTGCCACCAGGCTGTAAACATGTTTTTTTTTCTGCTGTGAAGATTTTTAGATACAGATTTGACTCGCTTTTGCAGTCAGCCTCAAGCGGCCACTCGATAAATTGCAGTTTAATTCACTTCCGTGTTGGTTTCAAGAGAGAGGGACGGGGAGGTTGCCGCTTGAACAAAACTTGCAAACTAACATTAGTAAAGTGGCCAGAGGGATTGTTCTGCCTCCACCTAAGCCCCGCCCACAAAAAAGTCACCATATTTACTAACTGAAAAGAGGTCTATTTAGCGCTAGTCTCCCGGGACAAGCACTGATTTGAAACGTGTGCTGGCCTTTGCCTACAGCTGTGGGAAATGACAGGTGAACAGGTGTGTTTCTCTCTCACTTTATCTATAATAAAACTTTTTGAGGTTTTTTTGAAATCAATAGCACTTAGTAGCACTTCACTCTTAGCCTCAAGATGTTTGGTCTGGGAACTCATCATTGACAGGGCTCAATCCGAGGGGCGGGATAAACGGTTGTCTTTCAAATTCTCTCTGCACGCAATTGGATAGCGCTACAACCAATCAGAGCAACGAAGAAGTCCCATGCGTTCTCCCACCAGCGGAGATACCGTATCCAGCCGGCAAAACTCCGAACACATCTTTTTTTTTTTTTTTTTAAATGACTCAAGTGCCGTTTTTTCTTCTGGTTTCAAAGAAAAGCTTAAGTTCAAATCATCCAGAGTAGCGGTCAAAGCCGAATCGAAAGACATTCTTTGTTTTCAAGTAGCAGTGAACCATCGCAACTCTGTCTTTAAGCCGCCCGCCGACTCTATATAAAATGTGATTGGCCTGACCAGAGTTTGGTTTTTCCAGCTAAAACATCTATTGCTAGACCACACTGGCTGCAAAATAATTTTAGATTTTTAGGCTACTTCGGTCTCTCTCGGATAGGGGAATCTATAAGCTGAAACCTCTGCCATTTTACATTTTCTCTTCATCGGACGCATGCCAAATGACTAAATTAGTGAATATGTCTACACTGAATGGTTCGTTTTTAGATTTTAGAGTTTTCTTTTGCAAAGCAGATCGAGATTGTTTGCAAATGCTGGATTTGTTCAATTATGGCACAATATTAACTCCATACCATAAACTGTAGCTAATCAGCGAGCTCAAATCTACCGGAAGTCTGCTATGAGCGATTCTTTTAGCAGCCCAAGTGTGCTCCCCCCGCCTATACACGTCTATGCACGCCAATCTCTATGACAGTGTTTCCCAACCCTGTTCCTGGCGGCACACCAACACTGCGTGTATTCTTTGTCTCCCTTATCAAACACACCTGATTCAACCCATCAGCTCATAATCAGGTGGGTTAATGAGCTGATGGGTTGAATCGGGTGTGTTTGATTAGGGAGACAAAGAAAACACGCAGTGTTGGTGTGCCGCCAGGAACAGGGTTGGGAAACACTGCTCTATGAGACAGTCACAGTGGGCTAGCAATTAAGCAAACTGAACCTGAGTGAGATTCTTGTGTGAGATTTTAAATAATTACTTTTTTTTTACAGAGCACTGGTATCCTGCAGTTTGTATTGTGTTTGGGTGGTTATTAATAATAATAATAATAATAATGATGATGATGATTTTTATATAGGCCTAGCGCTTTTCCAACACCCAAGGTTGCTTTACAAAGATAGGTTTAGGCAGTGGTTCTCAAACTGTGGTACGTGAAGAGAAATATTCCATAGAAGAGTAATATTAAGAGAAAAAATAATTTTTTAAGAGATTTTGAAGAGCCACAACACTAAAAGACCTGATGGCTCCTATGGTTACCAGACTATTAAAACTGACTAAATATGCCACAGCCCCACTTAAGATATTTTTCACCAGCCGCCACAGTTGGTCAACCAAACATCAAACCGTGAAAGAAAGATAGCACATTTTAAAACAAAACATTTCACAAAACGACATTAATTAGTCACATCTCCTGGGCATTTAGAAGAGAACTGACTTTATAGCCTACATCAGCTAACAATCTCAGTTTTAATATTTTCCTATTTGTACTGTATAACTTTTCACTGTTTTAAGTGTTTGCACTGATATGAATAGGCTATTACATCAAATTCGGCCTCAATAAAGTTATATAATGCTCTCTGTCCTTTCAGATCGAAGGTTTCATTCCTTCTCAACACAGAGCAACGACGTCCATCACAGTGAGAAAAATCCAGAGACGCTACTAGAAACCCAATAATATTGTCAGCTATAGTGCTATAGTATTCAAATTGTTCGTAAGGTCAAGTTATAAGTATAGTTCTGTTATTTGTGTATATATCTTTTCAGAGCATTTAATTGTGTGTCATTTTATATACAGTAAAATATGCTGTTGTAAATCAAATGCCATTCAGCTCTGGACAGCAAATAAACAGTTTTGTTCCAGATAACAGATTTGATTTTTGTTTCATTGTCTATATTGTTGTTTGTTTATTAGATCTGTCTTATTTGATCATAATTTGGTTTCTATGTATGTCTCAGATCACATTTACATTACATTTACTGAGAAAACAAACTCGCCACCATGATGCTAAAGTGTTCTTTGTAGTTGCTAGGGTATTGCCTAGTTGCTAGGGTATTGTAGGTGGTAACTAGGGGGTTGTTTACAGGCCAAATCAAAATCCAACCTGCAAGTCCCCTATAAAACTTCCCTCCTACTCTGCAAGTATGGAATTGGAGACATTTCTTGAACCCGATGCACCTTACGATCATGTTGTAAAATATCAAATAAAATGACAATGGAGAAATTTGGAACAAAAACAATACTTTAAAAATTGTGAAATTCAACAACTCTTTTTATTGTTAATTTGCCGTTTTGTCTACACATCCCCAACACCCTAATTGGGCTCAGGTGCAAGACAACAAAAGTATAATAGAAAAAAGAAGCGTGATGTTGGCACACTGAATAAACAACTAAAAAAAACCCCCAACTTTTATTGAAAACGCAACGCTTCGGCCGTCAGGTATCATCAGGCACAATGATGGCACAATTATTTGCCTTAAAAGCAATAATACATTTTGCTGATCCTGTCAAGCATTAGTCACAATACATAACTATAGAACTGTATAAGAGAGAGATCGCAGAAATACTAAAAGCTGAAATACTTCACTTGGAGTATAAAGAGCAATTCATAATTGTTCCGTGGTCTTCGTCAGTGTATTAAATCATCTCAAAGACCGACAGATCTCATCAGTAGATGGTGCAGTTGGCGGTCGAGTACTCCAGACAGATCCATTCGTTGGTGTACATCTTATAGCCCTCAGCATCCACCAGCCCGCTGCCTGCAAATGCACACAAAATGCGTCATGACTGCACAAGAAAAAGATAGATTCATCAAAGCCATCATAGCATGAAGTCTCAGTCTCACCCTCCACGAGGTTGTAGAGGGTGCAATAGGTCGTGCCGTTGTCGTCCAGCCTGGCCCACGCTTTTGAGATGGCATATGCCTGTGACAGTGGCACAAAGAAAGGGAAGCCAAAAGTATGAAAATCCTTGAGAATGAATTGTTAGCTACTTTGTACCTCAGCAGTTTTCAAAAGGGAGATTTGTTACCACAACATATTTTCTTTTGTCAAATCAACTTTATAATAATTTATTTAGTTGAGATAACTAATTAATGAGTTTCTGATGGTTAAATTAATCTACTTCATTGTATTAACTCACTTTTTCCAGTTCAATTAACATAACATTTTAAGGCAACCCAGGTTACTTACTTTTTTAAGTTAAACCAACAATATTTTTTTTACAGTGTGATTGGCCATTGTGTTGACGCGCTCAGACATATATGTCTATGATTGGCCATTGTGTTGATGCGCTCAGACATATGTCTGTGATTGAACCAGAGGTGTTTAAGAATCTGTAGGGGAAATACTGGTATCGTCACATTTGAAACATCGCTACTTGAAAGTCGGTATGACAACACTAGGGTTTTATTGTGTTTTGTCAAATAAATTCTGCATTGAGAATTCAAAAAAGAAAAAGCTAATTACTTTTTACACACACAAAAAAGAGTTTTTTTGCTGGCTAAAGTACTTTAAATCTTGCAACAACTGTATAGATGTCTTTGTGCGAAAGCCAATTTGTTCTGGCACAAAATGACATGAATGTCATTGGGAATGTTGATTTCTTGAGTGACAAGTCCAGCAATACATATTTCTTGTTATAAATCCCACTATCTCCCATTTGTTCTTGATGTTCTGAAATAAAAAATTGGCAGCAGAGCATTTTACCGTCACTCTACAGACAGACTCTTCAGTTGCCACTAGGTGAAAGGTCAGGTCCTGCTTGCTGGTCCACTGTCTGGAGGTGTGTTTGGCTACGATGTGGAAAGGAGTGGCGGAAACCAGCTGAAGAAGACAACAGTTCACCAGATTTGTATATAGTTCTTGGTAAATATACTGTCAGACTCCTTGTGCATACACAAACCTCACTGGATTATTACAATAAATGGCAAAAAGATTAAAAAACAATTGGATGTTTTGTGCAAACACTTGAAACCTTTGCATACTCAACCTGTACATGTCAATACAAGTTTAATACTTAGGGTTAAATATAGCAAACAGATGCTCTTACTTCATACAGGCATCTCTGTCCAACAGTCATACAGCCAGACATGCCCCTCCACTCCTTGATCTGGTTCACCAGACTCATAAAAACGTCCTGGCATGGGATCCCGAAGAGCCTGGAGTAAAATCAGAGAGCTTTCAATGCAATGTCATGTGGCTCTATAGCTGGCGTGAAGTTGTAAATTGGATTGTGGATCTGGTGTGTGACTAAAAGGACAGAAAAAATTCAGACATACTATACGTGCATCATGCATATTAAATGATCTTTATGAAAGTGTAGTATGTGGAGGGTTAGCCACTGTGAAAAATTTTCATGGATGACAGAGATAAAAGATCAAAGCCTTGTGATGCTAGTCACAAGTTTATGATTTGTCTTGGATTTTTATGCAGCTCAATCATCACAAGATTGTGAAAAATACTTCCCTTGATCTGAACGGTAAAAGATTTGGCTACTTTTCCTAAGTTTGCCTCCTGAACACACACAATTTTTTTTTACTCAATTCCACAATGTTAAGTGGGTGAAAACAAAACTCCTTAATCTTGTATTTGGGTCAAAAATGGGCACCCATAGAAATGAATGGGAAAAACTGTAATTTAGAGCATTCGAAAATAAGCCAAAATAAGACACCAGGTGACAGCAAAGTCACTTTAACCTCTTTAGGTTTTACACTCTCAGAAAAAAAGGTACAAAAGCTGTCACTGGGGCGGTACCTTTTCAAAAGGTACACTTTTGTACCTAAAGGGTGCATATTGGTACCTTCATGGTACATATTTGTACCATTAAGGTATGCACCCTTTAGGGACAAAAGTGTACCTTTTGAAAAGTTACCGCCCCAGTGACAGCTTTTGTACCTTTTTTTTTTTTTTTTTTGAGAGTGTAGCTCTAAGAACTTATTGGAATGATATTTTAATGTAGTTAAACAAAAATAAAAAATAAAAGTAAGCATAATTTACATAGAAAATATGGTACTTTTTGAAGTAAATACCCCCAAAATAAATTTAAAAAAAACACCATAAATGGATAGACAAAACTTTATCGAAGACAGTGATATAACATTTATAATAAATAAAAATTAGGATCACACCTGAGTCCTCTGTGCCCACATTTGTCCACAATTACAGGATTAAGTGCTATAAGGTGAATAAGGTTTGAGGGTTAAACATTTTTTTGTTATTCCAAATATCAACAATGTAAAATTAACTGAAATCTGCAGAAAAATTATGTTGTAACTTTCTCGGACCTTTACTTAAACTTCATTTTAAACAACATCTCTCCTTTTATCATTAACCCTCCTTTTTCTTGTGAAATATTTTGCATGAAAAATGAGCTTGTGCATAAAATAAAATTAAAAAAAAATTATTGTAGATGTTTTGCTATATGGTGCAATGACGTTCATTCATTCTGAAGCATAAGTGTCCAAATACTTTGTTGTCACTGTATAAAATATCTATATATGCTGTAGTTAGTCAGTATAGCTTAGACTATACTTTAGACTCCAAAGTAACATTTTTCAATACAGAACAACATGATTGAAATACAACATAGTGTAAAATTCACCTCATAACAGCAGCCTCTGTGTACACTTAACATTAAATTTTTTCCCCTTCAAAATTCTTACTCTTGACTGAAAACATCATACAATTTTTTAAGATGTGAATCACAGCCCTAAAACTTTGCAAGTTGGAAAGGACAAAATATCCAGTGATATTTTAGTATTATTTACAAAAGTCAAATAATATTTTAATGAGCTTTGATTTTTATATTTAGATTTTTAGTTTGTTTTAGTAATTTTGTTTGTTGTCCTTGTTACAGTGTAATTATACAGTAGTACAATAGTAATATTAATTAATTTTAAAATTAAATATTGAGTAATATTAGTCAAAGGCGAGTTAAGAATGTGCTTTGGTTTATAGTTAGTTGTAATTCTGCATAATTTAGTGTTATTGTATATTAAGTACGTATATGCAAAGTGTAACAAGGACTAAAGTAGTGTTATCATTTAAAAATAATATATATATATTTATATATATTTCTACCAATAGTTTGAGATATTTAAGTACTTCATCTTAAACTTCGATTTTCTTTTAATATTTATATTTTATTTTATTTTAGTAATCAAAAACATTTTTAGTTAACAATAGTTATGCCCATTGTGATAGTATTGTACATTAATTAATGGTGTTACATTTATTAAGTGTTAGACTAGCACTGTTCCCCATGCATACTATGTACTTTTTATAGTAATTGGACACCCGATGGCGGGGTTCTAGCAGACCAATCACAGCGCTTGCGTCCGTGTAGAATTTTTGGAGAGGTGCACGTCGTCAGGGCCATAGGGTATCCGTGCCACACACAGCCTATATATATTATATTCCAGACATTAGAACAATAAAACATATTGAGAGCCAATCAGAATCCACCAGACTTGAAAGAGCTCGAGCATTTAAAGTGACAGACAACAAAACTGCTCGCACACTTAAAATAAACAGATCGTTTTGTCTGCAGGTGTGCTAATGCTAACATAGATGCTAATATAGACCTTTGACGGGTATGAAAGCGAGGCTGTGAGAGATAGATAGACTTAACGTGTTTTCAAAAGCAGTATGAAGCTCCTAGATTACTTATCATTTTCCACAGCTCATCTTATATGTTTTTTTTTTGTCTACTGAAATTCTTATGAAAAATATTTTGTAGTGTTTCGTCACCAGAACAATTCAAAAACACATTAAATAACAGTAACCCACTGAGGAGATGTACAGTATGTCTATCCCTCACATGCAGCCTCGCCTTCATTCCCTTTAAAAACCAAACATGGTGCTGCTGTGAATAAGGTCTATTGATAAAGTCTTCACTCTAGGTGTGAACGGGAGTGAACCTTACCATGTAACTGACCCACTAAGGAATGACCCACTCAGCTGAAACAGCAGCTGAAACAATCTTTCCAATATGTGTGCCCAAAGAATTTCTCCAGTCAAGCGGCATCTTACCATATGATTCTGCACTGAGCGTGGAGCGGTTCTCCAGTAGCCATCAGACTGAACCCCAGGGTCAGGGCGAGAGCCAGAATCAACGTTCTTGTTTGCATGGTGAAGATTTCTCCGAGGTCTGTGCGTCCTGGCGATGAACAGACAGAGACGTGCTTGAGTTTTATAGTGGGGTCTGATCAGAACTGTCATGTGGACTCAGATGGGAAGTGGAGCCACAGCATTGATTAGCAACGGCCACGTCTCGTGAGCTCCAAAACCTGAAGTGTTAAATGTGGGCCCTGTCTATTTAGAGATGCCATAAATGTGTTAGTCTGTTGTAAGTCAGCTGATCTGTGTTTGACACAGACGTGCTCTGATCGAGTGTGTTTAAAGGCTGTTTAGTAATATGTGTAACTTCTGAGGGATGATATGCATTTTATGCTGTACACAAACAGCCTTTCATATCTATAACTATTTGAAACAGTAAGATACTCATATTTCAAAAAGATTCATAAGCTTGGTGTAGACAGCAACATCAAATGTCTGAATACATTTACAGCTCATATTTGATACTGTTCAAATGTTTGTCTTGGGTAAGTTTTTATTTGTAAAAAGTTAATACTTTTATTCATCAAGGATGCATGAATTGATCTAAAGTGACATTAAAAGCATGTATAATGTAACAAAAGATTTCTATTTTAAGTTAATTCTGTTTTTTTATTTTATATTCTGTTGTAAAAAATTCTCATGGTATCTACAAACATCTAAAGTGGCACAATTGATTTCAACATGGATGATGATAATAATAATAAATGTTTATTTAGCAGAAAATTGTCATATTAGAATGATTTCTGAATGATCATGTGACACTGAAGACTGGAGTAATGATTTTTTTTTTTTTTAAAGACTGAAACGTTTTTTGTGACCCATGACCCTGTTCAGCAATGCCGGTCCAACGGTTGTTCTTCCTTGCACCACTTTTGGTAGACCAACCACTACATACACTCTAAAAAAAATGCTTGGTTGTTTCAACCCATGTTTGGGCAGAAATGAAGAAACCCCAAACCTAATTGTTGGTTACAATTTTATTACCTTTTTAAACCCAACTGAGTGGTTAGTAATAGTATTAGTGCTATGCTAATTATTTCCCATCTTCTTCTACACCAGATTTCTGCTGTAATCTCGGGACGCTAGTTCTGTGGTAAATGGCGTTCGTCAGCTCCAGTTTGTATCTCACAGAGACTTCAGATGCCCCAACACCTACTAAACACTGATGAGACGACTAAACGCCTGTGATGTGTTATGCCCCAAATTAATAGTTTTTCTTTGTACATTTCTTAAATGCACTTTCAGTAAAGCTGCTTTGAAACGATATGTATTGTGAAAAGCGCTATACAAATAAATTTGAATTGAATTTTCTCACAGTGTCAGAAATGGATGATCTTCATCTTAAGTGTGTTTGCTGACTAGCCAATTACAATGCAACATGAAATGGCTATACAACTTAAAGCAACTTACCTCAAGCTCCATTAGCAATATTGACATGCCAAGTTGGCCTCTTTTCCCTAACTATGACCCAGTCCATTTTCTGCTCTTTCGCTTCCTCTTTTTTTCAAAGTGCGATTTATTGCTCTATTTGTTGACCATGCTGATGATGTTTTAGTCTAAATTAAAGGGACACCAGGCAGGGTGTTTTTGTCAAACAGCGACCCCTAGGGTAACTGTGGAGTACTTGTTTTTAACGTTACTGTCGTAAATACCACTCGCGGACAGCTTGACGTGTTACATTAGTATACAATAGTACATTGTGTTTAATTTGTCGTTTAATGAGATCTAATCTATGTTGTTAGTGGTGAGAATTTTCATGTGAATAAATACATATCCCAATGAACTTTAATGGTCCAGAGGAAGAACTTTTGCCATGTGTGTACCTAATCCCTACTAATTTTCCTCATCAAAACCGATTGCTGTATTTCAAGCAGGGACGTGTTTTTTGTGCATTGGGTTTTGTGATTTCACTGTAATGAGTCTCTCAAGCCACCTTTCCACTGCACACGACAAACGACCGCCGTCGGACCGGAAGTCATTCATTTCCAATGGAGAGTCGTACGGGAGCTGCGGGGAGTTCCGATCATATGATATGCGTATGCGGAAAATTTGGATCCGTTTTGAGCTTTGGATCTGTTGAAATATCTGAACTTCTGCGGCTAGACCGTATGCGACCGGCCAAAAACTATGAGTGCGAGGCTAGAATTACCAAAATTTGAATAGTTCAGATGCAAAAGCCTCTAAATGCCATTTGAAATTTTCTTCTTTAATGATGATTTTTGTCGAACTTGTATATTTAAGTTCAGTGATTTCACTTAAATAACAATTAATATGTAATTATCATTGCCATTTAAGTGAAATCATTGAACTTAAATATACAAGCTTGACAAAAATCATCATTAAAGAAGAAAATTTCAAATGGCATTTAGAGGCTTTTGCATCTGAACTCTTCATTTTAACTCTTTAATGTTTTTTCTGTAAACGCTCGCTCTGTAAAATGTTGGTTATAATTAACTACAGCAGAAAAAAATATTTTATAACTATTAAACCAATATTTATACTACTATATTTTTTATTTGAGATGAATTGAGGGTCATTTGTTTTGTGTAGATATATTCATGCATGCATTACATTTATTAAAATCATTAATTTTACCATTGTGAATATCCTAGGGTAACGGTTGCTTCACGACCAATTTCAAAGTTCCGTGCGACTGACACTAGGGGCGAAATGCAACAATCGTATGCGAATGTCGTGTGCAGTGGAAAGGCGGCTTCAGTCCCCGCAACGGATTGAGAGCGCGTCCGTTTGAAGACAGTGCGCGTCACAACAGAACACTGAATCCACTGAAACTGATCGCAGCGGCAACGCACTTTGGTCACTTGATTTCAAAAACACACTTCGGATCGCCTCTTATTTAACAAACGAACTAAATGAATGCTCAACTAGAGTTACCTGGAGATGTTTTATTTGTTTGTAATGGTATATCCGTGCTGCGAGATGTTTCAATATCACACCAGCAAATTACGGCTATACTCGTGTCTGACTCCTCCCTCGGTCAGTCTGCTGTTTCCTCTTTCTCTGTTCCTCCGACAATGCTTTCCTAGCTTTGTGTATCTTATATGCCGGCTCAGCCATGACGATAGTGTGACAAACTCCATCCCTCTCGACCTTGTTCCTGGATATGTGCAGTGTTGCCGCAAAGGAATACGTTACATCGCGAGAGCTGATATCACGCGATACTTCCTGACGCTGAGGCCGGCGGCTCGCCGCACCGAAGTTGCAAGTTAGATTTTTCCACTCACAGGCACCAGGGGGGTCGAGACGCCCACCATTCAACCTAAAAGCAGTCACATAACCATTTCAATAACTCTGAAGCTGTTAAATTAAGCCAAAATAACTGCATAGCATCCCTTTAACTTGCATTGTAGCCTACAATTCAATAGGTGTCATCGTCGCACAGCCTTCATAAATACCGTACCCAAGTTTATTAGATTTGTAATGATTTTATGGGATTGGCAAAGCCTAGGCATAAGACAAGTCAACGACAAAATGTGTTGTGTTGGCTAATCAGTGCAAATTCTGAATTCAGCAGTATAAAACAGTCACTGTGAGGGGGATTTTTCCACATTATCACATCTGTGATTAAAATGACAAAACTGTTTGAAATTATCTTGAGGTGAAATTCTAAAGGCATTGAAAAGCGTGGATAATCTAAATGGATGAAAGTCGAACTTGCACTGACAGAAGTGTGAGACAGATGGAAGTGAGACAATTTATTAAAAGGTTTGGATTGTCTCATATTCTGTATTGTGTGCGTCAGAGGCTAAACTCATCTCTCACAATCACCACCCTGACATCTGACACTGGAGCTCCCGTGCTGCCATGGTTTTCTCTATTTTTAGCTTTAGCCATCTGGAAAATTCACAAAGTCATGGTGTGTCGAGCACAACGTTTTCAAAATCATCCTGACATTACAACATTTCAGGTTTCAAATGAAACCTGTAATGCAGAAAAGCAGATGAAAGCTGATCGTGAGCTCATAAATTACGCGAAACCTCAACCTCAGGACATGTTCAGTCTTGTCTAAGTGATACTTCCAAGGGACATCAAATACAGACAGTGTAGTTATCAAAAGCGCACTGAAATCAAATGGAGAAAATCATTTGAAAATTCTTCCGTTTTGTACGCAAAGTAATGTGCGTTTTTATTTAAAGAAAGTCCCACCAGTCTGTCGTCTCAAAAGTTTAGGTAAGTTAACTATCCATTTGTCCAGTTTGTCTGCATATTCAAGCTCTTTCTCCTATTTTTCTGTTCAAGACTCAAATCAAAAGCAGTTCCAATGTCTCCCAGTATCAGGCACAATCCTCTTCAGTCAGCGAGGAGCTTCACTCAGACCTTGACAGAATGGCAGACATAATTCATTTTGATTCGCAGTTATTAGTGATCCTTGAAGAAACACTGAAATAGAATAAATCACACAGTATTGTGCTTTTCAGTTACACCGAGCAAAAGAGATATCTCTGAGATATCGATGGAATTTGATCTCTATGAGTACTAGAAGTTTTATAAATCCATGAAGTATTTGCTTTTGACAAATCGTTTTTTTCTCCCTGTGATGCAGAGAATGAATCCATGCTCCAGGCACATCCTCTTGAGATACAGTTATTGAGTCTTCGGTTCTGCCAACTTCTCTGGCTCCATATCCAAGTCGGTTAAGCAGCAGTAGCACATGATCTGAGCATACTTGGTGAACGAATCTGTCACAGAGAGAGAAGAAAGAGAGAGAAACACGTTAGTGGGGATATATTCACATAATAACAGTAAACATGATATGTCAGTCACATAGCCTTACTTCTTTCAGAGAATGGTTTTCATTTAAATAATATTCACACAAAAATGTATATCAATTAAGCAGAACAATGAACTTGCATGAACAATAAGTCACATGTTTGCTGTGGTGAAGCAGTGGCTGCTCTGGTTGTAAATCGTTTTACCACATGACTATATAAACAGTACAACACTGTAAAAGAGCTAGCATGTTTGCTTTTACTGCTTCTTTGTATTCTAGTTACCTAAACTAAACTAAGCACTTTGTGTAAGATGTATTTGCAGAAAAGTATTTGTCTTTCTCTGATCTGAGCTTTTATCATAGTAAAAAAAAGAAAAAAAGCTGTGCTGCACTTTGTAGGCTTGCTTGTTAAAATCAAAATATTAAAGGAGTAGTTCACTTTTGAAAAAACTTTTGCTGATAATTTACTCAATGTCATCCATGTCTTTCTTTCTTCAGTCAAAAAGAAATTAAGGGATTCAAGAAATTCAAGGTCCAAAAGACACTTTCAGTACAAATTGCAAGGCGAGCATTTGAGCTTATAAAACTTAAACTTTGTTATTTATTTATTAAATGAGTGATCGTTTCAGTCGTCTGGAATCGTTTAAAGCCCTTTAAACAGAATGCACTGAAAGTGTCATTTGGACCTTGAATCCTTTGGTTCCCATTGAAGTCCATTATATGGAGAAAATCCTGGAATGTTTTCATCAAAAACCTTAATTTCTTTTCGACTGAAGAAAGAATGACATGGACATCTTGGATGACATGGGGGTGAGTAAATTATCAGCAAAAGTTTTTATCAAAAGTGAACTACTCTTTTAAGGAAGGTCATTTTAAAACTATCAATGAATTTAGTTTTCAAACAATTATTCGAACACATAGGAATAATTGTTTTTTGTTACCAACATGTGACGAATGTCTGGACATCCTAAGACTTACCCACGTAGTTATCCTGCTTTAAAACAGTGCTTGCTTATTGAGAGCATTTTGAAATTTGTGATGACAATGAATACAACTACATGTACTCTTGACCCCATCCCAACATTTAGTCTTGAAGGGTGTCTATAATAAACCCCTCCTTAACTAATATTTTTCCAAAAGCCCTTAAGTTTGCAGATATTACACCAGTCATTAAAAAGCCTGGAAGTGATGAGTCTGACCTATCAAATTACAAGCCTCTTTTAAATCTTAATTTTCTCGCTAAGGTTTTGAAACGTGTCGTTGTGGCACAACTACTTTCACACTTGTAATTCAACAAGCTTTTTGAACCTTTTCAATCTGGGTTTAGAAAGAGACCCAGTAGGTTTGAGTTATGAATGACCTGCTTGTCTCAACTGAATTTGAAGCCTCTATCTTGGTGTTGTCAGACTGAATTCAGCATGTGACACGTTGTAGCCACTCCATTCTGCTCAATAAGCTTGAGAATTGGTTTGGTATCTCTGGTGTGCTTAAATGGTTAAAATTCCACTTTACTAATCATCCTTGGTTTGTTCTCTTGGGAAGCAACAAATCTTACATTGGACTGATCTGTCATGGTGTTCCACAGGGACCTGTCTCAGGTCCTTTATATGCTTCAGCTGGGGCAAATCATTAGAAAATAATACTTAGGTTTTCCTCGAGAGATATCATGGCTTGCAAACGAGCGAAGCATGGCAGTTGCTCAGTGTTCGGATGTACAAATGAACACAAAAGTATTTTTTAGTTCCTTCATCCGAGCCTTTGAAGAAACAATGAGTTCATTTTTTTCTCTGGAAATGCGCCGACTCAACTCCCAAAGTTTTCTTTGGTCCAAACATTTCACAGACGACTTTTTCCTCAACTCGATGAACGAGCTACCCAGCAACAATTTCTGATGTAGCCTAATTGTTCAAGTTCAGACAGGTAAGTTAATCTTTGTCTCAAAATCGTTCGATACTGTTTATGCACCTGTAAGTCAAGCCAGTGACTAAAATATCAACTTCACATTGTTTCTTTTAGTAGGATGAAAATAATATTATTTCAATTGTGAACAAATTATACAGAAAGCGATCAAAGAACAATCTTTCCACACAGCGCGAGTTTATCTGAACAACTCGTTATGAAATCAATGCGTTACACTGTACAACAAAGCTCTTACTGTATGTACATCATCGTGTTTGCATTGGTGAAAGCATTAGAGAGAGCAGAAACGGCGTTGCAATAAGATCTTCATTCTTTCGATCGACAGACTGTCCTCTGCTGCTCAATGCTCATCACAGCAACATTTTATGCAACGCATTCTCACCCCAAGGCGTCACCTTTGACCATGCTTCAATATTTGACGTTTTAGGCGCCCTTTAGCGTCACTTACATGACGCGATCCTAGGGCGTCATCTAACTGACGCTAAAGGGCGCCTAAAGCGTCAGATATTGAAGCATGTCCAAATGCTTCCCAAGGCGTCAGTTAAGTGACGCCTTGGGGGTGAGAATGGGCTGTTGTATGTGATGGGAATCTAAATACTTCAAAAACTTCTCACGATTCTGTAATATTGATAGCTGTAATAGTAAATCCTATAATAGCTGTAGTAAAAGTATTCGAGAGAGTTTTACATGTAATATGTAGCTATTTTATATGCAAGCATGTCAGCCAATCACAGCAGTGGGCGGTTACAATGAACCCCACAGCAGACACGCCCCTTCAAACAGAGCGTTCAAAGCAGAGGCTAAAATCAGGCTAGGAAAAATGCCTTTTATTTCTAAATTATGACTATTTTTGATCTAAAAAACATACTAACATTATAAAATAATAAAATAACCCCATGTCAGGGGACCTTTAACAGTAATTTACGCATAATTACATGCAACTATACCCTGGCCTAAACCAAATCCTAATCCTAACTCTTTAAGTACATGTAGTTAAATACTATTCCACAGTACTTAACTATGTAAATAGACTGTAACAAGGATACCTTATTACTTTTTATCCCCTCATGTGAATCAATGTGTAATATGATTATCCTCACCATTGAGTTTACTGATCCATTTTGGCCTTTTCTCTGTGGGCAAGTAGATACACAGGTAATAAACAGGCACTCCAGACAGTGCGATGGAAACTCCTATGAGGGAGTTAATGGTGTCGCTGTACAGGGGCACAATCACGAGGAACACACTGCACAGGCAGTAGACGAAGGGAAAGAACAATGAGAGCTAATGAAGAAAACAAAACAGTCAACAAACACCGAATAAGACATGGGGTTTTATTCAGACAAATAAGCAGAGGTGAATGCTGGAGCGCTGTATGGATCTAGTTACCTTGACCGGTCTGTGTCTGTCAGGCTGAGTGAAGCGCAGGTAAATGAGTCCGGCCACGGACAGACCCACATACAGCCAGTAACTGAAGCTGAAGTAGTTGATGAGTTGAAACACATCCTCCACACACAGGAAGATCAGACCCATCACGCCCTACAAACACCCATAAATCCAATGCTTAACATTGCCTATTTAGCAAGACGACTGCCACATTGGTCAGCGCAACATGCACTTTCAAACATTTAACAGCAGAAAAATGATTGTTTAATTATAAAGGCATTAGAAAAAAATCACTAGGGGTGTCGACTTGTGTTGTTTCAGTGTGCAAGTGGTCAACCATTGAAAATATTAAAAAAAAAAAAACAACATTTGCGAAGTTTTCGAAGTCACTAAAGTCAAATCACTAGACCCTCTTATTCTTGAACCCCTCTCTTGAAGCACCCATCACATAGAGACCGCGATAAAAGCACTTTCCAATAGATAAAGTCCTATCTATTGGTCCTACCCCCCCCCCCAAATATACTGTACATCCAATTACATAAGGTCAATGGGTCGTAAACACAATTTCATGTGGACTTTACCAACTGATTATAATGTTGATTATCATGGATAATCTGGTCCAGATAATGTACTGATACTTGGAGAAAAAGGGAAGAGACTCACATTAAAGAGGAGTGCAGGTACGGGAGTGTAGCGCTCAGCGTGGATCAGACTTAAGCTGATGGGAAGGTGGCCTTCTCTCGCCCCCACAAAAAACAATCTAACACAAAGGAACGCAACATCTACTATACGCATTATTATTACTTGAAAGTCATTGGAACTGAAGTTTTACCTGGAGGCGGCAATGATGGAGGCATTGAGTCCTCCATAGCAAGACATGGCCACAGCAATGGGAACGATCCAGCTAACGGGACCTAGCACCTGATTCCCAAATGTCTACAGATGGGGACACAAACTAGATGGTTTAATCCAATGATGGTGTAATTAATACATTAAACCCATAAAGACTAAAGATCACATATATGATACTCTGAAAGATCCTTACTACAGCCACTGCATCACTACCCATGAAAGATGGCATGTCCAGAACTACGTAGTAGGCGATGTTGGTCAGCAGGTAGATGATGGTCACTATTGGCATGGAGACGGCTATAGCGATGGGAAGGTTCCTATGAATAAACAAGGAGAAAGATTAAACACTTGATATACTTCAAACTAAATCGAAGAACGAACTGATGTGACGTCATTTCGAACAAAATCAGGTTGAAACGAAGTTCGTTTAGGGAGTTTGAAACAGATTGCCAAAGGGAATTTTCCTGAAATGTTTGTTCTGGCTAGTAAACACTTTCAAACTCCCATTGGTCCATGGCGATGACGTAATAGATAGGTGTGCGAAGAACCTCCGCCTTCTTTCATGTGAAAATATTTTCTGGTTCATTTGGCCTGTCCAGCCGGTCGTGTTTAATTTGTTAAATCTGCTTGATTTTAAGCCATCTATTGTATAAATAAACATGACGTGACTTTACTGGAGTGCCGTAGAGATCGTGCAAACATCGCCACGTTGATCGCCTATGATTATATGATTTTCTAAAATGCTTGCTGTTTTCTTAATTTTGTTTTGTTTATTTTGTCATTGAGAGGAAGGCGCACAACACATTTACTTATTTATCTAACCGTTGCTCTCAGCTGGGTGGGCGGCGTCAGATGTTTGATAACAGTATATCACTGGTCACGCATTTCGAACTTGGTTTTACCCCTAAACGAATAGCGAAAAAGAACTTCACTGTGAGTATTTTGGGGCCTTTAGGATGAATAACATTATTAGGGACAGGATGTGTTCTTTTTTTTATGTTGTAGATAGGTGTGCGAAGAAGGACGCGAGTTCAAGAGATTTCCACGACGCATGCGCGAGAACTGCAGTTCAGTTCTCGCGCATGCGTCGTGGAAATCTCTTTAAACTTTCGTCTCAGGCCCAGAAGGAAGGAACGGAATAGTCGAATGAAGTCGTTATTTTTGCTGTTTTTTTTTTCTCGCACAAAAGTAGTCTCGTCGCTTGATAAACTTAAAGTTGAGCCACTGTAGTCACATGGAATATTTAAACATTTTCTTTGATGACTTTCTGGGCCGTCAAGTTTCAATCCCTTAGGGTGCCTATGTACAGTAGCAGTGATCCACCTCTCAAATTTAATAAAAAATATCTTCATTTGTGCTCCGAAGACGGACGAAGGTCTTACGGGGTTGGTACAGCATGGGGGTGAGTAATTAATGACTTAATTTTTAATTTTTGGGTGAACTAACCCTTTAAAACTCATCTTTGATCATCAAAATGACATATTTAAACTTTACTTCCGTGAAAAAAAAGTTCATCATGCCTTAAAACAATGTAACTCTACACCCTTGCCTCATTTAGTATACACGTTTCTATGAATATAAGAAAATTAGCCCCGCCTCCACACACTCAAACCAGCTCAAAGATCCACTCGTTGAAGTGATTGGTTAAGGTAGTTTGAGACATCAGAAATGCCAGCGATTTTCAAACCGTGTTTTTGAAACTGTCTTTGGTTCTCTGCAGAAAA